TTTAAACCATAAAGAGAAACATGCTTCCCTCAAAAATAGTAACCATATAATTTCTTTGGGAAGGATTGTTTATATAGGTTTATTAAGACCGATAATACAGCCTGGCTGGTGTGGTTCAGTTGGTTGGGTATCATCCCATGCACTGAGAGATTGCTGGTTAGATTCCTGGTCAGGACATATGCCTGGGTTGTGTGGTCAATCCCTGGTCCTTGTGAGTTCGGGAGGCAACCGAGCGATATTTCTCTCTCACATCGATGTTTCTCTTTCTCTCCCTCTCTTTTCCCCTCACTCTAAAATCAATTTTTTAAAAAATCGTTTAAAAAAGAAGAACACACAACTATAAAATATTTACTATGTGCCAGACCTTATTCTAAGTGCTTCTCATATGTTAATTCACTTCATCTTCCCAACAGCCCTATGAGATGGGTTCTGTTTTCCCTATTTTGCAGATAAGAAAACAGAAGCACTAGAGATTAAATAACTTGGCCAAGATCACACAGCTAGTAAGTGGCAGAGCTGAGATTCAAGCTCACAGTCTGGCCCAGAGTTTTGGCCTTAATCACCCTGCAGAACTGCCTGGGCAGTTTTAGTTTTACTTTCATTGAGTTTGGCTGCTTTAGCAGAGAAGGTGCCCTTTTTCCCTTGAGCATTTTGCTGCCAATGAGAGCAAACTGTTACAGGCAAGTGGGGCTGCCTCAGTCATGACCCTCCTGGTTCAGACACCTGCCTTTCCCAAATGAAAGAGACGTTAACATTCAGTTTACTTCATTAAAGTGGTTAAGTGACATTTAAGGCTCACTTTTAGAACAATAGCTCACAAAATAAAGGTATAGCGACACTTGGATGCCTTTTTCAGAAACACTTAGCCATTACTAAATAGCTTCTAGAATACCCCCTCATCTGGTGCATAGCCACTGATCAGATTAATCCTCTAGTTCGCCCGTCTCTGGCGTTGTGGCCCGGCCTCTTCCTCACGTGTGCCTGCCTTGCCCTGGGCCCGAGGCACAGCTGCTGTCTTCCTCAGCAACCAGTGTTTTTGTAGCCATTTAACAGAAAGTCTTTTTAATTAGCTGACAGAGACCTGGGTTCACTTTCTGCGCTCAGTCCCCACGCCCGCAAGCACATTAGAACCTAAAAAGGGACACCAGTACAATAAACTGCCGCAAGAAGTTGCTGGCTCCAGTGAAATCTGTGAACCCCTTTCTGAAATCAGAATGATTTATTCCTGTCGCTTTGCCTTCGTAAGATTCGCGCCCATCCTGCTAAGTGCCTTAGCTTTTACGAACTGAAACATGAACTCCCTTTTCTTGAGCAACTAAAACTCTATAGCTAGCTTCTGCTACGGGAGTTGGAAGTTAGAAAACTTCTATCCACGCCTGAAGCTGTTTCCTAATAAACAAGTCAGCATATCTTTCAGAATATAGTATCATTAAAAAAACACATTTAAACAGAAAATACGTTTTAAAACATAAAGATCTCCCACAGGGTTATTTTACTTTCTAAATGAGACAAGGAAAGGGGATCATTTCAGTCTCAGGAGAATCTTTTTTTCTGTCTGTTCACAGGGATAAAATGGCTGGGCCTTTCCTCTCCATTCAGCCTGGGTTTGATTCTTGACTCCTCCATTACAATTAATTCTGGCTCTGAACCCCCCTTCCCCACCTGTAAAAGGAAGGTTATAATGCTAGGATTATCGGTGAGCAAGGAGGCCAGCTACAGTTAACCATGGTAGAAATGATGACAGCAACTTGATTGTAAGATTTCTGGGCACTCTGCTCTTTCTAGCCCATAATTTGGGAAGAGAGAAAATAGTAACTAATAGAAAAGGAGCCTATTGGGCAGCCAACAGAAGGTTAGCAATAGCTGTGCAGCGTGGGGGAGAGCTAGCCTTAGAATTAAATGACTTTTAATCTTGACTTTACTACTCATTAGCGGAGTTACCCTAGACAAGTCATTTCATTTCTCTGAGCTTTAATTTCCTCTTCTGTAGAAAGGAAACAATATCGGTCTTTTTATATCTCAGATCTATTGTGCGCATCAGATTAAATAAGGAAGGGTCTTTGATAAACCAGAGAGTGTGAAGCGGCTGCAGGAAATGGGCCCAACACTAAGGTTTATCAAATGTATCTTTGGATGCATCCAAGATGAAGTGGACAACATGCAATGTTAATACAAAGTAGGAGATGAGATATTATTCTGGGAGAAATGTTTTCATAAGTTTCTTTAGCGTAAGAGTTATGTTTGGTTAGAAAATTTCATTCATATATGCAACTACAGAAAGGCATAAGTTAAGATTTTTTATTGGAAACAATGAAAGAACTAATAGAAGAAGAAAGGAAGTGGAGGGGAGTTTGCAGGTTGGAGCAGGAGTTCCACTTACCATCGTTAAACCTAACCATTCGCGGTGGCATTTGGGGAAGAAGAACCGGCATGTGCAGCAGCGGAACGCATCCAGGCGCTGGTGGCCAGAGTCCGGGCTTGCTCTGGCCCAACTGGCACTGCTGTTTGGAAGGGGGAATCTCACCGTCTTTTCCATGAGCGCAAAGGGTCAGGACTCTAAGTGGATCTCTCTCCTTTAAAAATGTCTGTGACGATAAATGTGTGCATGGGACCTGCTTAAGTAGGAATTCCTTTGACATTCTTGTTTCTCATTTCCCACCACGGCCCAGAGGTAGACACCAGCCACATTTGAGTAAGAAACCCTTCAGCCTTGCCATGTTCTCCGGCCCCTTGAGAGTCATGTTCTGTTTGGAAAGAGCTGAGAAAATGAAGGCTGTTTTTTCACTTGGCGTAAGAATATCCTTCTCAGAGCAGCAAAGGTTCTGTGAGAGTAACGGGATCCAGATGTGGGAGCTGGCTGCTGGCGCTCGGCATGTGGGCCGTGAACTCTGCGGGCAGAAGCAGCCTCCAAGGCCTTAGCGAGTGCCCCGGGGCTCCAGGAAGGGCCAGCACCCAGGTGGCGGATGGCCTGGGCACAGCGTCTGGGCTTCATGGGCCCCTCGTACCTTGGAATTTGAGCCGCAGAAGGGCATAGAAAAGGTCCTGCTTGCCCTTAAGGTGGATGGCACTGTGCTATCACCCGCTCTGTAAGACCCCGTGGGCCCTGTCAGTTCTGGGCTCGCTCTGGTCTATTGGGAGGGGGTGAGTTGGAGAGCCAGGTTGCTTGTTAACTGGAATGGAAACAGTTTGCTCTCTACTTGCAGAGGCAGCATTGCATAGTAGAAAGAACACTTAGTTGGAAGCCGCATGGCCTGGGCTCCGGGCCACCCTGGCCCTACCTAGAAGTAACCTTCAGGAAGTCTCTCTACCTCGCTTTTCTCATCCAGAAAATGGGGAGGCAGGACATGGTGATGGTTGAGACTCCTTCCGGCTCCCTCAGTGTAGAATTGAGTGGCACCTGACTTCACAGGGAGAAGAGTGATGGGAGAGGCAGCCCAGCCAGTCACACTGGTGCTGTGGCTGCAGTGTTCCTCGTCTGACACTGTTCCATTGCACCCAGTGTGCTGTGGGCAACATGCAGGGAAGGGAGGCAAAGACTGCATTCTCTCAGGAAGAATCCAGTCCTGAGCCCCAAATGAGTAATCAGCAGCTAACCAAGTGAGGGAGAAACCAGCTGCCCCTCCATCGCTGTAATATTTCTTCCAAACCAGTGTTTGCAGTGTTTGAGCCCCTGCCTCTTATCCTCACAGTGGAGTGTTCAGCATCCTCTCCCAGCTGGACCCCGTGCCTGACTCCTCCCCTTACCCTGGCTCCTTCGCTTTTCGGTCTCTGTCTCCTCCAAGCCATCCTTCTCTGCTGCCCCTGCTGGGTTTTGCCATGGTCTGCTTTGTCTGTTGGTAGGAGGTTAGGAAAACCTTGCCCCCAATAGCTGAGATGCCCCCCATCTCAGCCCCCACTCAGGCCCTTTGATTCCTCCATTCTGCTGAGCACAACTGTGGTCCCTTCATCAAATGCGGGCAGACGGAGACCTGCAGCAGCTCTGCCTGCAAGTCCCTCACCATGGCAACCAGCATTCCCACCTCCACTGTGCAGGGAAAATGGCTGTTCTAAGGAAGGGCTTACAGAGTCTTCATTACCCGGCCGGTTTCGTCCAAGCCCCTCCTTCGCACGGGCTTTACGAAGCTACATGCGTGGAACCAAACGTCTGTTGGCCTTCAGATTTACTAAGAGGAAAGGAGGCAGAAGGAAGCTGAATCCAAATGAATAAAAACATTTCTTTTCTGCCCTAAAACTGTATTTTCATGGACACAGTTATCTGTCCTCAACAGATAAACAAGGAGCTGAATGAGTACAGGAATCAGATCCAGTGCAATGTATTTTGTCTTATCAGTGGACAGAGCACGTGGCTATGCAAATAAAAATTCAGGTCAAGGAGCCAAGGTGCTCGGGGAACTTCGCAGGGCATGGCGCCAGCATTGCCGAAGGGGGTCTGCCTCATTGGGGTGGGATGTTTGATGCTGGCTCCTGTTATGGGAAGAGATGCACTGGTCCTAGAGTCATGAGAAAGGTGAGCATTGGCAAATCCATCTGGACCACCCCGTGGGGTCCTTCTCCATAGTCATGAGGCATGGCAGCGCGACAGGTTGGCAGGAGACCCCTGTGCCGAGTTCTGGAGCAGCAGGCTTCCCTCTCGCACAGCCCTGGTTTCCAAAAGTAGCTGTCGAGTGGCTGTGTCCATGACTCTCAGAAGTGCTGCAGGTTGGAGTAGGACCGCAGCCTTCCCAGGGGCCCAAAACACTTAGTGCGGAGGTCATCCCAGACCTCCCCGGGCACCGCACTAGGAGGCAGAGGCGGCAGTGCCACAGCGAGTGGTCTGACCGTGTCCACTCCTGGAATCGACATGAGGACCCATGGAATCTATGTGACCGGTTCTTAAAACCCAAACAACCACCTCCCCCTGCTCTACACATGAGTGGGGACACGCCCGTTTTGAATGAAAGCTCTTGGTTTTATTCTTAGGAATGTGAATGTGTGTTTAAACTGGACTTTGTCTTTTTCAGTTTCTCTGCAGGTGGATATTGTTCCCAGCCAGGGGGAAATCAGCGTTGGAGAGTCCAAATTCTTCTTATGCCAAGGCAAGTGCCCGGGGCCCACTGCATGCATGGCAGCCTCCCAGAAGACAAACAGCCATGGGCTGTGTGCTGGCTGATCTCACAGCACCCAGAATTCTTGGTTTTGCTTTGCTGCAGGGTCAACAGTGTGACTTGGGAGCCAAGGAGGCTCTCGGGCCCTCTCCCTCCCCTCTCAAAGGGCAGCCCCAGCACAGGGAACTGTATCTGGACTTGCACTTGGTGGTGGAGCACTAGGGATGTTCCTGGGAGAGTCAGCACAACTCCCAGAAGAGGGAGTCAGCTCCGAGACCCCACTCGGTAGGCATCCAGAGCTCGTAACTGACAGCAGAGGAAGAAACGGTGCCTCAGTGAGTCAGTGTGAGGCTTATTTCTCAGAATCCCCAGAACAGGAAAGCCCAAGCACAAAACTTGCTGAAAGGAAATGGAGCGCTGGTATCTCTGCAGTGTGGACACGAGTCCCGGGTTTCCAGGTCTACTGTGAATTCAATATTCTGTCCCGTTGCCCCAACCAGAGCTCTAGGATGGTCAGAGCAGGTGTCCTTGTTTTCTCTTTAGAAATTATGCCCCGTTTCCACAGCTCAGATAATTACCAGGAGCTGTCCTATGCAGGATCAGGCTTCCAATTAACTTTGGATTCTCTGTAAGTGACATGACTGGGATTTGGAAAGTGGGGGAACCAGGGAAGAGCTGAGGTAGGTGTGAACTGTGGCATTTAACGAGCCACTTTCAGCAGGAGGGGCCTTGAAATGCTATCCTGATTTGCGGTGGGTGAGGCGGCTGTGGCCGCCGGATGTGTTCACTCCAGCTCCACCTTCGTTTTGGCAATTTACACGATCTGGGGATGCAGCCTGGAGCCCGCAGCACATCTTGCAAATAGCGATATTTATTGTAAACATAATGGGCCCTGAGAGGAAGGCTGCTTCATTTCCATACCAAGCGTCTGTGCGGGGATGGTGGTGTGAGCTGGGGAGGCGTGTGCAGAGGGCTGGGTGGAGCCACGTGGCCGGGTCCAGAGCCCTGGTCCAGCTCAGTGTCTGGGACAGCGGAGCAACAATGTCTGCCCCTCTGCAGTGCCTGGGGAAAGGACATTCGGCTGATTCTAGCTGTCTTCTCAGCATTGAAGGAGATGAATTTGTCTGTCTGTGGCAGGGCTGCTGGAATGCCAGTCATGCCAGTTTGTGCAGGCAGATGCTAGAATAAAAGTAGTTGGGGTCCACACTCCTAGGCTAACCAGTGTCTCATCTTCCACTCAAGAGACCACAATCTGAGCCTTTGAACACAAACTGATCACTTTGCTCAAACCAGCTAGTTCCTTGATCTCAGCTCCTAGATATGCTGACTCCCTTTGCCCCACCCCCCACCCCCTCTCATTCGTGAGGCTGTAAACTCCTAGCTGAGTGCTCAGCACACAGGAGGTCCTCAGCAAATATCTCCTCTCTTCCCTTGCTAAGGATAGGACAGCTATGAGATACTGGCACAAGTACTTGTTGAGTCCCTTCCAAATACCGTAAGTGGTGTTATGTAATCACAGTTCAACACAGAAGCCAGAGTGACACTCTACAGAAATGGTCATGCTCCCCAGTCATCGCACCTGATGGTCTCATACGGTAGCTCTTACTGAGTACCACTGACCCCGGAGGGGACTTTGTCTTTTTACTTGTGTGGTTCTAAAATAATCTCTTCCTCTTCAGTGGCAGGGGAAGCCAAAGATAAAGACATCTCCTGGTTCTCCCCCAATGGAGAAAAGCTCACCCCGAACCAGCAGCGGATCTCAGTGGTATGGAATGACGACTCTTCTTCCACCCTCACCATCTACAACGCTGACATTGACGATGCTGGCATTTACAAGTGTGTGGTCACTGGCGAGGACGGCAGTGAGTCAGAGGCCACAGTCAACGTGAAGATCTTCCGTAAGAGCCTCCTCCTCCTCCTATATTTGTCCTCGTCTTTGGCCAGGAAGATACATGGGCAGCAGGCAGAGTGGGATGGCAATAAAGGACCTGCTGAGGGCTTGATAGGGCTTCTTCCCTTCTTTCCTCACCCTAAGTCTTTTCTGAATTGTACTAAGAGCTCCGATACGCTCTTAAATGATCCTGACCCAACTCAGAACTCACAACCCGGGTTCATGCTGGTCACAGCAACCTCCCACTGACCTCCAACTCTAAATTCAAACTACACAGTTCCCAGAGAACTATTATGGGTGCCCCATCCCTTCCCCAAATGTTGACTAACTGTTGTACAATTCAGGGTCCCCTCTTATTTCACTCTCCCATGCTGGTAATGGAGTCAAAAAGCTCAGTGGAGGGTTAGGGGGATATTATTTATTAGAACTCTGTCCCTCTCAAAAAAGGCAGCTCCAATTGCTACTTGGTCTGATGGTGGCCTCTCATCACTTTGTAATCATGCATCTGTCCCATTGGCCAGTGAAATGGTGGGTGACAACTAATGGAACAGTATGGATTGTCATGGTATTTATTGCCATTATTGCCTTTCTTCTGTTCTATTCTTTAAAATTCTCTCTGCTGTAGTAAAGTTGAGGCTGGGGTACCACACAGAGTGGGAGACAAAGAAAGGATTGATAACTCCTGCTATTCATTATAGAATAGGTGTTCTACCAGTTCATTCTACGTATGCACTGTGTCTCAATGGCACTATTCCACATGGCAAGGTACCCTGGTAAAGACCTTCCTTTCGCTCCACAGATGTTTCATACACAAAGTGTGATAAATTTAGCACTCAGTGATAGACATTGATTGCCAAATTTCCACAACATATTCCCCTACTTATGCCAGCCGCTCCACCTGGCATCTTTGACCAAGTACTGGGTGGAATCCTCTTTATACTACTGTATATATGTCTTGAGAGTTGCCTGCAACTGGAATCCAGGCAGTATGGCTCCAGTGGAAAGGCATCTTTGTGGGAAAACCAGCTGTTTTCCCTCACTCTTCTCTTGCTCGTTTTCCAGAGAAGCTCATGTTCAAGAATGCACCAACTCCCCAGGAGTTCAGGGAGGGGGAAGACGCAGTGATCGTGTGTGATGTGGTCAGCTCTCTACCCCCAACCATCATCTGGAAACACAAAGGTCGAGATGTCATCCTGAAAAAAGATGGTGAGACCTGAACCCCTGGGCCACCAAGTCCCCTAGGGTTCCACCTCTGCCGGCCTGTGAGGCATTTAGACCCAAACTCTAGTATCCCTCCCAGAACCACATGCAGTTTAGGTCCTAAATGGGTATATGTCTGTGGCTTGTATGTTCAGGGACTTCCTCCAAAGAAAGGGACAAGTTTACAATAGACATTTGCTCTTGGCTCTATGTCAGAGCCATGGACACATTTTCTTATTTCAGCCTAAAGCTCCACCCCATAAGACTGAAGCTAGGAAAAGGGAAGGGTTCAGTGACCTTCCTACAGACACAAGTTCTCTAACTGATCCTTGGACGAACCTGCCTCTTGTCTCTTCTAGTCCGATTCATAGTCCTGTCCAACAACTACCTGCAGATTCGGAACATCAAGAAAACAGATGAGGGTACTTACCGATGTGAGGGCAGGATCCTGGCACGGGGGGAGATCAACTTCAAGGACATTCAGGTCATTGTGAATGGTGAGGAGATCCGTTCTTCCTACTATCTCCATTGCTACAACCTTGGTCCCCAATATCATTCTCTTCGACCTCCTCTTTGGTGTATAAAATGTAGACTCATTCAATCTCAGCCGAATCCCCCTACCTCCTATTGCCTCCCGCTTGGTTCTTTCTAAAAAACAATATATATATACTTGCCTTCTGGGTTTCCCTCAACCATGGGGCCTATTAGTGCAGTTTTTAATGTCCTTCATTGTCTTGAACGACTGGAAACTTTCCCTGTGCTTACTAATACATTCTGATTCAGACTTCACTGTCCTTGATGCTACCGTAATTGTGAAATTAGTCCCCTGGTTCAGTGTGCAATGAAAATATTATAATCAATTCATGCCTCAGAACAGTCAGAATCATGGCCCATGGGCTTATTAATCTTAATTTGCAATGTCAAATAAACACACCAGTGGAATCGATCTGACATTTACAAGATGTCTACAGGAAATTATAATGTCAGTATTAAGAAAATAAGCATATCATGGTCAGATTGTTTTGGCTATTGATATATACTTTTGCTAAACCCTCCCCCTTCATTCCTTTGGTAAAAGAGTTGGTGCACAGGGCTGTTTATGACATTTCCAGAGAAATGTCACTGTGGTGCACTGGTGCATTTAAAATCAGCATTAACCATTTAATCACCGGGATCAGGAGTTTCAACATTTTCCAGTATGAAGAATCCCATTTTGAACATCAAGTTCCCTAGCCATGGTAGTTGTAAGTTGAATATGCACTGATTGAAATAATATATAATAATAAATAGCTGCTATGAATTGAATGCCATTTTAAAATGAATAAAAAGCATTAATATAGCTTCAAGAGCTATATTACTAAAATACAACATTTTACGGGAGTGAGCAAAAGTAGATTAATAATAATAAATATAGTCATTAATAAATAAATAATAATACACCTGTAATCCTACTTTTGCCCACACCTGTATATTGTTATAAAACACTAGTGCATTTTATTTATTCAGGGGTGAGTTATTTATTCAGTTTACAATAATTATGTAGTACGTGCCTGAATTGAGATCCCTTACACTAACTCTGCAACTGCCCAGGACTCTTGACCCCCAGGTGTGACCCTTGACCTAGGGTTCCCTAGAAGTGCCGTTTCTCCAGGCCACTGGATTCTTCCAACCACCCCTGACAGCCCTTCTTTCCTTCAGTACCACCCACCGTCCAGGCCAGGCAAAGCATCGTGAATGCCACCGCCAACCTCGGCCAGTCCGTCACCCTGGTGTGTGATGCTGAAGGCTTCCCGGAGCCCACCATGAGCTGGACAAAGTAAGACCCGGCTCCTGCATTGGGTCAGGGACTAGTGGAGAAGGGGCCAGCACAGGGCCTGCTCCGGGTTGGCATTGCCATGGAGCAGGGACAGACTGCATGGGGATGTCACCGACTCCGGGTGCAGGATACATTCCCCTGCACGGTTCTCCTGCCTTGTGCATCAGATTCCTCCTGCATCCTCAGTCTGTGTGTAAAGAGCATGGTTTTGGAGGCCCTCTTTGGTATGTCTGTGAGTGCAGTTTACAGCCCAGGGACAGGATCAAAGGTTTGGGTGGAGGAATCTAAGGTATATTTGTAAATGCAATTCGGTGTCTTAACTTTTTGTGAAGACTGAGCCTTTCCCATGGGCTCAGACTGCATTTTATGGAAACAAATTAAAAACAAACATCTTCCCTCTGTGGTCAAAATCATGGTCCTTTGCCTTGGTGCACCCTGTAGGGACGGGGATCTGATAGAGAATGAGGAAGACGAGAAGTACGTCTTTAGTGACGACAGTTCGGAGCTGACCATCAGGAAGGTGGATAAGAACGACGAGGCTGAGTATGTCTGCATCGCCGAGAACAAGGCTGGAGAACAGGATGCATCCATCCACCTCAAAGTTTTTGGTAAGGACAGTGGGGGTCAAGGTCACTAAATTCCCCTTACCCTGCACACTCAATCCATCCTCAAGAGCCTGTCCACTCTGCCTCAGAATCTATCCCAAGTGCAGCCTCTTCTTACCAGCTCTGCCACCTATGCCCCAGTTCAAGCCACCCTCCCGCTCCCCTGGTCAATGAGACAGCCTCCTATCTGGTCTCCCTGCCTACCTCCCATAGGTCCCCTTCATCCCCTCCTGCTTACTCCCTAAGTGTGAGATGACCTGAGTGTCACTCCTCTGTTTAAAGCCCTCCCGTGACTTCCTATTGCAATCAGAATAAAATCTAGACTCCCTACCCTGGCCCACAAGACTAAACCTGAGCTAGCCCACCTTCCTTCCCCATCTCATCCTTCCTCCACTTTGTTCCACACTTAAAAGCTTCAGGCCTCCTTTCTGTCCCTCGGGCACAGCACGCTTGTTCCCTGCCTCAGGGATATTGCACTTGATGTTCCTTCTGCTTGGAATATCACTCACCCAGATCTGCTCACAGCTGCTTCTCCTCTTTCATCATTCAGATCTCAACTCCACCACCTTCTCAATGAATCCTCCCTTCACTGCCCTGCCTCTGAATCACCACCAGCTCCCCTGCCTCCACTAATCTCTTCCATTAACCTTACTGTGTCTTCTTCATTGTACTTACCAGTACCTGAGCTGACCTCATTTACATATTTGTTCTGGGAACTGTTTGTCTCTCACCTCCACTAAGTGTGTAGACTCCAAGATGGTGAAGCACACACTTAGTGGAGGTGAGAGACTTAGTCGCGTACATTGCCTTTTCCCTGGCTCTCCCAACACCACCAGACTCGTCATAGGCCTTTGGTACATGTTAGTGACCAGTGCTTCCGTTTCCCTTTTCTTCTTTCCCTGGCCTGTGTGAAACAGCATCATAAAAGTCATGAAAAGAACCCCCACACCTCTATTCACATCTTCTTTATAAACTCAGTTAACTTCCATGCATTTAGAACTGAAATAAATTTTGACTTGACCTTGGAAAAAAGATTTGTAGTGGGAAAATGTTCAACCTAATGCCTCTCTACTCTCTCTGCTCATCTTTTTAAAAACCACAGCTAAGCCCGGCTGATGTAGCTCAGTGGTTGAGTGTTGACCTATGAACCAGGAGATCACAGTTCGATTCCTCTGCAGGGCACATGCCCATGTTGCAGGCTCGATCCCCAATAGGGGGCCTGCAGGAGGCAGCTAATCAATGATTCTCTCTCATCATTGATGTTTCTCTATCTCCCTCTCCCTTCCTCTCTCTGAAGTCAATAAAAGTATATAAAAAAACACACACAGCTAAGCTGGTCCATTGTAGATAGTGCTACTAGAGCAGGTGTCAGAGGCTCATGCCTGGAAAGCTGCGTGGGACCTGCTTGTTTAGCCTGATCAGGAGAACTGATCCATGTTTGTAAACAGAGCTTTGAAAATCAAGCGTTTATATACAATTGGACTTGCTAATCACAGATGAATCCTATTTATTCATTTATAACAATTGGGTTTATAAACAGTGTATCAGTTTGATTCAGATTAATTCAGTATGAGCACATACTTGAAGGTGAAAGCTAAACTTCTTGAAAATATTCTTGACAGTCGTTTCTCTAATTCTGACTAGTCTTCCCAGTCACACTAAGTTTTTTTTCATATTATAGAGGAGACAAATGCATTTGTTAATTTATTCCTTCATTCAACAAGTATTTATTGAATACCATTGTTGCTAAACGGAGGAGCTAAAGATACGGCCCTTTGACCCTGAGATGAATGAGAGAGATTGACATATAAGCACATAAATTATAATAGATAGTGTCATTCAGCAACATTTGAGTGCCCTGTCTAGGCTCAGCCATTGCCATGGTCACAAGGATGAATGACACGCACTCTTTGCTCATAAGTAGGTTCTGTTCTCATCAGTGGGTTCCCTAGCTCATGAAGATGGCCAACACTCAAATATTTAATCCTTTATAATGACTTGATAACAGCAATATGCACTGTGTTTTGTAGAAAGGATCTCTGGTCCTGCATGACACAGAAGTTAGGGAAACCCTTGCAAATGCTGTGCTAGTAAACTAGTTGGAGTTTCCCAGAAGAGGCAGGACAGGTGAGCATTGCAGGCCAACAGGCACAGGCACGGAGGCAGGAGGGGCACGTGTCCTAAATGTGAGCTAGTGGACAGGGACCTCTGTCTTTTCTACCCCCAGATATCCCCAGTGCCTGGGAGAGTGCTTGGCATGTAATAGCTATTAGTATTTGGATAATTGAGGGAATAGAAATTAGTTTTGTGTGAATTAATCATCATGTATGTGGCAGAGAGATGAGCCTAAAAATGTATAATGATGACTTGTTTTAGAAAATTCTTTTAGATGTTAGCCCCATAAAATAATAATAATAACAATACTGAACAGAAGTGAGCACTATGTGAAGTTCTATTCATAAATTAGCTCTTTTAATCCTCAACACAACCCTATGAGGTAGATTAATCATTACCCCCAATTTAAAAATGAGGAAACTGAACAAAAGGAAATTAGGTGCCCTGTCCAAGAATCAAGCCCAACTTGTAAGTCCATTCCCTGAGCTATGAGTGGTAGTTGCTGTCCCATGAAACCCAATTTAACACATATTATATCTAAACTCGAAGCCCAGTGCACCAAATTTCGTGTACTGGGGGGTGGTCCCTCAACCTGGCCTGCGCCCTCTTACAGTCCAGGCCCCCTCACTGCTTACCGCCTGCCTGCTCACTGATCCTTACCACTCAGCTTGCTGCTCCTTCGTGCTGCCACGGAGGCGGGAGAGGCTCCTGCCACCGCTGCTGCACTCGCCAGCTGTGAGCCCAGCTTCTGGCTGAGTGGCGCTCCTCCTGTGGAAGCGCACTGACCACCAGGGGGCAGCTCCTGCATTGAGCGTCTGCCCCCTGATGGTCAGTGTGCATCATAGTGACAGGTCCTTCTGGTAGTTCCGCCATAATGGTCACTTAGGCTTTTATTATATATATTACATGTGGAATGACTGGCGATAGTGAAATTGGTGTTCTCCTTTACCATCATGGACAACTTGGCTTCTCTGTGGAAGCACACTCGGTTCTACCTTGGCTGGTTGAGGACAGCTCTTGGCTTCTCTTCCAGCCTCTCTAGTGGTGACAGCTGCACTGGGAAGAATGTGTGGGAGTGAGGCAGGAGCCATACAGGGCCACGCTGGAGTGAAGGGAGTGGTGGGGTCCAGGGAAGTGGGCGATGAGGTACAGAAAGTGAGATGTAGGAACTATGGCAAGGCAGGCTTTGTCTTTCTACCCACCGCCCTCACCAGGCATCCCCTCCTGTATCTCTCTCTCTCTCTCTCTCTCTCTCTCTCATACACACAGTCTCTCCCTCTCTCTCTCTCCCATACACACACACACACATTCACAGTCTCTCTCTCTCTCTCTCTCTCTCTCTCTCTCTCTCTCTCTCTCTCCCTCCCTCTCCCTCTCTCTCCCTCTCTCTTTCTTCTACCACAGTTTCTTTCCCAAAGCTGCAGCTGGGAGGATGTGCACTGGAGTATAGTAGAGCAACAGAAGGGAGGTGGCCTGACATCTACAGAGACAGGGAAAAAAACATGGTCTTAGGAACCATGTCTAGTCCAGCCCCATCCAGAATGAGAATGCTCCTCTGTAATATCTGGGGGAGAGTTCGCTAGCCTCCCTAGCGTAACCTAGTTCCCCATGTACACTCTCCCTTCTCTCTCCATTCATGTTCTTCACCTCCTTTTCTCCTCCTCCTTCTGGCCCGCACCATTGGTTTAGGAGATTGGTACTAGGGCCAGAGAACAAGGTTGGGAGAGGCCAGCTAGTTTGGCCTCTTTCTTTCACCTTTTTTCTCCCTCTCCTTCCCCTCAAGTTTGCAATCTGGGACTAGCACCAGGAGAGAAATGGGGCAGGCTCCCTAGTGGCATCCGAGTCCGCAGCAATGAGATAGGAGAGCAAAGAAACCTGTAGCTTAGACAATAAAGAAGCGCTCAGCACTCCTGTGGATCAAGAAGGGGTGGCAATTAGTATGGTAGGGACACATCTAATTAGGGTCTGCCATGATTGCACCTGACTGACATCATTTTCCTAAGAAAGGGAAACGTTCTAGTGTGCATCGCCCTAGTTATCAGCAGATGCTCTTTTTACTAAGTAGTTGCATCCTCCTTCCTTTAAATTTGGCAGTGAATTTCCATTGCTCCTCCCTGTGGGCCCTTCTGAAGGAGTATTTTTTCCCCACAGATTCTTGTTATGCCCATACGAATGCTCTTAAGATCTCATGCTGCTGAGGGCTCAGGCGAGTTCATCAGTGGCAGAAGCTTTGCTTAGCTGGCCCCCAAGGACCAAAGCAGACCTTGTGAGTTACAGCAAAGGACAAATAAGTTGAAGGAAGGTGCACCTGGTCCAATGTCTCAGGTCACAGAAGCAGGACCCCACGGTCCTTGGACTGGGCTTGCAGAAGCCTGGGTTGGGGTGGGAGTAGACGAGGCTGGCCCACAGTGGCAGGGTGCAGAGCTGTGGACATGCTGGGAGAGGAGATCAGGGGTGCTCACAGGAGGGTCCACAGGGACAGGGGCAATGGCACAGTCTGGGGCATTAGGTCCCATGGGGCAGGTGGAGAATAGAACAGGGATCCAAAGTCAAGGGCCCACAACAGAGGTGAATTAAGATGGTGCAAGTGCCCTTGTAGATAAAACCTGGACAGATGCCTCTGGATGCCAGTGCGCAGAGTGAAGAAACCCTGCAGCTGCCCGGCTTGCCCACTTTCCCAATGTAATGATCAGAGCACGCCTTTCCACTCTCACGTGTGGTCCAATCTGGACAATGACTTATATCGCTATTCTATTTCCAAGGCAGCATTCTCAGCCTGCAGTTAGTTCTGACAATAGCCCTGCTTCTGGAGTGCAGAGATGCTAAGTCATCAGTGGACGCTTCCTTCCTTCCAACAGCCTCTGTAGACCGTGCAAAATTAGTCATTGTTAACAATGTTTTTAATAAGAAGATAGTTTTCCTTTTTCTAGAGACTTATATGGTGCACCCTGTATAACCATCTGCGAAATGGAGCCACCAAAACCAAATATTGTTAATAGACCTTAACTTGTCCTTCATCTTCTGTTAACCTTTGTCCACCAGGACCAAGTCCTGGGGTCAGGAGAAGGTCAGCAAACACTGTCTAGATCACAGCGTCTGACTAGGTTTCAAGAGGCCAGAAATTCCAAAAACTGCCTTCAACCTCCCCCCCCCCCAAAAAAAAAAAAGTTCAGTTTTAGTGAATTCAGTTATCTGGCTGATGTTTTTTTAACTTCTCAATCTGTGATTTTAGCACTAAACCTCCTTCTCAACAGCACTTAACACTTACTGCATCCAATATGAGCTGTGGCCTTTCTCAAAGTCCTATTTATCAAGGTAGACACAAAGCCTTCCTAGAGGAAGACCTATTCATGGGCTCCATGGATTCAAATGCATGATCATTGGGCCACAGTGGACTGAGATGAGCCCATGTGCTGGCGGGCAATAAAGGATTCGCTAAGCTGGCTACAGATTAACGTCAGGAGAATATTTGAACTATGTGGTAGTTTTATATAGAAGCAGATTTTTCCACAGAAAATGCACAGCTCTATCGTTATTTTCTGTTTATTAAAGCGGAATCAAGGGCCTCAATTTGGAGGCTGTATGTAGGCAGTAGTTTGTTAGCCTACATGGGGTTACTGGGTGATTCTGAATATAAAGGAAATGCAGTTCTTTCAAAAATTAGCCATAATTTTAATTTACTTATTTTTCATTTGTTTATCTAGCCTGGCCTTTTCTCTATTAGTGAAATAAGTTATACTTGTGCAGTGTTATCTTTTCTATGGAAGGTTTAGCAGTTTCAGAGTATAATTGTTTTAAATTGGGAAAATTCAATTTTCTCTAATGTGTTAACATTTAACTCAGCTTTGAATGCTTGTGCTTTCTTGCATTACCCAAAACATTTGGAAAATGAACTCATCTCAACTTATCTCCTTCCCACCCCAGCCCACTCCACAATCCGAGTTACCCACCACGTTTCCGTACTTGAGTTAATGCCACACAACTTCCCTGGGCATTACAAATCTCAGCATCGCCTGGCTCCTCCTCATTCCTTCTTTTGTTTCTTGCCATGCCTCCTACCCCTGCTCACTTGCAACTTCCCATAAAGCCTTTCTTTAGCATCTCTCTCAAAGCCATCCTTTCGGTCCCCCTGACATAGCCTGATCAGAACTGTCACATCACAGCTGGGGCACTGCCAGAGCTCCCAAATTGTTTTCCCTCCTCAAGGTTTTCTCCTGCTAAATCATCTTGACTTTTTTCTAGATTAACCTTCTTGTCATGCAAATGACCATTTCATCCCTCTGATCAAACACTGTCAGTGGCCTCCACCTGCCACCAGACAGAATTCAAGCAAGAACGTTAACAGGTGGTCAAGACTCTGTGTCAAGATGCAGCGTTGCCTGCTCTGCTTTGATACACAAACACGTGACTCTCTTCCCAAACCTCTCGTCACGTATTCTTGCTTCTCTGCTTTCCTTCAACCAGTTTTCTACCCATGAAATGACTCAGTCTCCACCCCGAAGTTTCACCTACTGAAAATCTCATGGCCCAGCCCAAAAGCTGTGTCCCCACCAAGACGCCAACCAGAGGAGGGCTCTTCCTCTGCTCCATGCCTCTTGTATCCATTGCCCTCACTTAGCGCTCTTACTACACAGGATGTTGTTTTTATCAGTCACCGCGGTGTTGCCGTGTGCCTGCCTTGTGGTAAGCCCTTGAGGCTTCAACACGTAGAGTACAGCCTATACTTAGGAAGTAGATAACCTTTGTTGTGCATGCTACCACTTAAACCTGGGGCACTGAGAAGGTTAGATAAACATGACAAGAATTACAGGAATGTTTTGTCTTTTCAGCAAAACCCAAAATCACTTATGTAGAGAACCAGACCGCCATGGAACTAGAGGAGCAGGTCACTCTTACCTGTGAAGCCTCGGGAGACCCCATTCCCTCTATCACCTGGAGAACTTCCACCCGAAACATCAGCAGCGAAGAAAAGGTATAATGTCGCCGCCCAAGAGTCTCAGGGCATGGCACGCAGACTCGAAGCGGATTGAGTCTGCCCAATGCCCAATTCTCCTCGGTGAGCCAGAAGGGGGATATGGTCACTGTAGTCCAGGTTCTGTGGCCTCCTCCTCCCCCCACCTGAATGCATCCTGCTCCACATCCTCTGACAATGGAAGAGGTGCAGTTCATTGCATAGATTGGCAGGGGGGTGATGTTAGTGGGTATGGTCAAGGTAGACGCTCTGGGAGGAAGAAGGTAGGATTTTCAAACCCAGGATTTGGGGCTGTGAGGAACAAGGCAAACTGACATCCTGGTGCTCCGGGTGATTTCATCCTCATCTCAGGAGCACCAAGGAAATGTCTCCTGGGAGTTATAGGGTCAGAACAAGCCTGTCAATTCTTCTCCTCGTATTTTGTATACTCATGCTATACATGCACTATGTGCACAAAAGCTTGGTTGCCTTTGTGTCTGCCTGTATTCTCGATCACATCTGTATATTATGTTGATCTAAAGGCAAAAATAATTAGCAGTTTCCACATGATGATAATTGCCCTAGGCTCTGCAGTGTATTCGCTGAGAGTGTAAGAACAACGTAGCAAGCTCTGTGACAAATTCAAAAGACTGGGGAGGTTTCACTTGAAAACATGTGGATTTACAGGCCACCAGAAAGCTGTCTTTATTATGAACAATATGTAATAATTGAGGGGACCCCACAATGTGTAGCCCTTTGCTACCGAGTGGGACAAATGCAGGAGGGGAAAGAAGCTCGGTTTTAAAGCAACTTAAACCATCTTAGGGCACCTCTCCAGTCTCACCTCATATATCCTGTAGTAATGGGCTTTGTCACCTACTCAGAAGTAATGGCCTTCGATTCAAAGGGCATTTGTAATGGATTACTTATTGACCAAAATGTCAGAAATTATAGATCTTCACTCTTCTGCCTCCCTAAAGGAAATCCTTAGAGAGGGTAAACTCAAGTACATCCGAAAGAGAGAGTATGAGACACTAGAAACAAACTTGGGATCTGCACTTGAGGAATTGATTTCTGTCCCGCTAATAGAAAGCAAGGCTGAGTCAAAAGGAACAGAAATACCATTCCAAAACCAATTATTTTTCGCAAGTTTTACCTCCAGAGTCGAATTCGACTTAGCAAAAACTCAACGAAGGACTGCTAAGTATTTTTGAAACTCACATATGCTGTTTGATATTGTACTGGAGTAAGAAATGTGGTGTTTACTTGATGCTTTCTTTATCAACATTGGGGTTAAACCTTCAGCTCAGATTTCTGCTCCCATCATGTGTGTTGTGTGGATTGAACTTGCATTCCAGGGCTTAAACCACAGGACCGCTGCCTGACAGGTTTTCCTACATTAGTCTTAAGAGTAGATTTGTCCAGAATGGCGCAGTGTATATCTTTGACCTCAGTGAAGGGCAGAGATAACATCTATCCTAGATGAACGATGCTTTTAAATTCTACATCTTTTCTAGGAATAGCTCAATAGCTAAGCTAGACCAGAAGAGTTATTAAGATTTCTGCCTACCTCAGCTCCTTTAATAGCTTGGTTCTCTAGCTTGTATCCGTGAATTCATTTTCACAGAATGAGAACAAATAACCAGGTACTAATATACACTCACACTCACTAAATACTGACACTAAAGGTGTTCAGCAGAGACTTTTCTCAAGCCAAGGAATACTCACTTGTCAGTGAGTGTAGGTCATTTGTCTCAACCAGAGATAATTATTTAAACCCTGCCACATAGGTGGTGTTGTTTTACCATAACAACAGTGGTTTGCTTGACGTGACATTCCTGGAACGTGAGTAAATCAATGTGAGAACAAGTCCTCCAAGCTGGCCAGTGCTGTGACGCCAGATGAGCACACCTACCTAATGAAGCCATTCCCGAAATGTTGCCATTTATATTAATTCTCTACTGACATCAAAGAGGCGCGATGTCCAGCTTCATACCACGGATAGCTAATAATTGAGAAAGAAAGGTGGCCTCTTCCTGGGGGGTTGGACTCCAGATAGTAAGCTTCACTTTTACTTTGGTGGCTGCTTCTCATGTGCAACTCCATCTGAAGTTGCATCATATGTAATTAGGTATCGACATGATTAGAGTCACTGAATTGTAGGAGTGGAAGAAAACAATTTTCTTTTTAAAATCAGGATGCTATGCTAAGCAGATAAGAATAGACAATCGTATTGAACTGCCAAGGTAAGAAAGGCTCCTGAGAATTAGATCACATAAAATGCCTGGATCATAGAGGGTTGGAAGGAAGCCACTCTTTGAGTTTATTTAGTCTTACCTGGCACCGCTTTCTAACGTATCTGCCAGACAGTCACTCAGCCCTGCCTGAAAGGTGACATTGTCAGCCCTCTGCAGGGCAGTCATTCAATGCTGATGACCAGGAGGTCTGCTTCTCAGCCTTCCCACCTCTGGCAGCCAGTCTTTGTATGAGAGCTCTTAAAACAGCTACTCAAGTTTTCTTCAGTCTGTTCTTTACCTCACCAGTTGCCCCGTAATAGATGGCATCAGCTCACCGGTGCTTCATTAAAATTTTGTGGTGCCCAGAGTCAATGATGAAGACCTCCATGGGTTATTACTCCCTTGATCTGGATGCTGTAATGCAGTTAGAGTTGTCTTAGCACCTTCAGCAGTTTCTTCATCCTGTTGCCTTGTATTGAGCTTGTGGTCAACTAAAATGTTCAGGTCTCTTTACCGTGAACTGCATTTAAGCCACATGCCTCCTATCCTGTTCTTATGCAATTGATTGCTTAATCAATCATGCAGAATTTTATTTTTATTTCTGTTAAAAATTGCATTTTGTTGGTTATAACCCAATGTTTCTCAATGGGGTCACGATGAAAACTTGGGAAGACTCTTCCTTTACTGGGACTATAAAGGATGATATTGCAAGATATGTAGCACCCGAATCTCCTCCCCCCTAAATACCAGTAGCCACTTCTAATCATGTGATTACCAAGATTTCACATGTGCAAACACTCTTGGGCATGAGAACAACCATTTGAGTTTACCTTTCCAACCAGTCAAGAATGGCTTTCATCAGAACTATCCTTTAGAGGTCTGTGGGTCCAGGGAATTTCCATCCACATGCTCCCCTATTTTATTTATATATTGAAAGTAATGAGGTCTACAATCAGTGGAGACCCCAGCCCAAGCACACGACCCAATGGCAGGCAATGGAGTGGTCTTCCCCATGCAACTGTCATCTAGCATTTGCATTGGCTATTGCTACAACCTTATATGAACACTTACTTAAAATATCTTTGTCCAGGTTACTGATAAAAATGTTGACTGGGACAGGGTCCAGTATAGAGCCTGTAGAATGTCACTAGGGCTTCCCTCTGGGTCATTGGCTAAGAAGGTAGAGTACCAAATGCCACAGTACCCTCTTGTGACTTTAATGACTTCCCTGGAAGGCTTAATGATCTCTTTAATAGAGTTAGTCACAATATAAGCTAATTAAAGCAACTTGGTCTTTTGCTTCACTGAGGAGAGAGGAGAAAAGACTTTCAGCCATTGATACATAGTGACTTTCTAATGGAATGCTTGTTTTTCTTCATTAAAAAATTAAAATTAAAAAAACAATACAGTGAACTTGCATGTCACACCCTAGCTGTGATCTTGTCTCTGGGTTTAGTCCAGTCACTTATTGGAGATTACTATCAACCTGCTAAGCTTCAGCTGGTTGAGTTGGTCGCTCCACAGCTGATAATAGCTGGGCTAATACCATTAGGGTAGATCATTTGTCTGAAAGTTAGTTCATTTCTTAGTGCTCACTGTTATGTTGACCAAAATCAAAACATATTTGAACATGACAATGGGTCAGTTAGATCAATGTGTACAGAGGTCATTGATAATGCAGATACAAAGAAAGTTTGTGTGTCCATATTGTGTACACGGAATTTCATTTCTTCCTACCCAGACTCATTTAACTATTGCCAGGTACTTGAGTGAGTGGAGCTAAATTCTAGGTACCATTTACATTCTGGGTGAAACTTTGGGAAGATAATTTGCATCATCTATCATCTATCTCTGGCAGAACAAATTCGTAGTGTCCTTACTTGAACATGCCTTTGAAATAACTGGTGAATAAAAGCATCCGAAGCCTTAATGTTTATTGAAAAGGAGAGGGATGAAGAGTTGAGATCAGAAGAGATAAGGAGAAAAAATGAAAAGCATTCATGAACTTTGAATCTTAAGCTTCCCAAGTAGCCCGCAAATAAGAGAGATCTTTTGAAATTCTCTGCAAACTTTTTATCACCAAGAAGAATTCCTCATTCAATACAAAGTAGGTGCTCACTTTTAAAACTGGAAAAGGTACCTGCATTGAGCAACCAGAGGCTGGCTTATCCAGCCTGCAGACAAGTTTCTAGCAGGGAATACTTTAGAATAGTGAAAGGATGTTACACCTTAGTTTATATACATATTCCTGCAGACTCCTAAGGTAATAAAACATGAATATGAAAAAAACATGGAGCTAACAATTTTTGGAATAGTACTAGTCATATTCTCATTATTTTATTGTGTTTTTGGATATCAGGTTGTCTTAAAGCAGGCCACGCGCCTTCACCAAGTTATCAGGGGCAAGGCATAGCCTACCATTCCACCAGTACTGGGAGGTCAAGCAACTAGAATAATTGTATTATTCGCAACTGCTTATTCTAAATGCCACAAAACCATAAGAATTTGGGAGAGACACAAGAAAATCAGATCTGAAAAGCAAACAACTCCATAGACATAACTCCTAAAAAACTACCTTGGTTCAAGCAGCCCTGGTGTGTGACAAACCAGCTTCTAAGTGATGTGGAATCGGCAACCGCATCTGACATGTTGGCCCACCGCTTCTTTGGTCTATGCATGTTCCTCTGTCCTCACTTTCTTCATGTGACATAATCCAGCATTCTCATCCTCGTATCTCACAGGAGCTCCTTGCATTTAGTGGACCCCTACTAAATGTTTGCCAACTCATTTGCATTCCCTGGGTTGCATTGCTGTGTCTGGCATCTTCTCTATTGTTTTTCTATCTGAACACCAGGGACAATCAGGTAGTCATACCATCCAACAGAAAGAGCAATGCAGGTATGATGTCTCTGACTCCCAATATGAAAACAGAAAAACTGTAAACAGAGTAGATTCTCAAGTGCCAGATAATTTTTTTTAAATATAGATGTGGGTAGAAAAAGACCCAACCTCTGTGTCCCTGAGATGGCTCACTCTTTGGAGTGCCGTGTTTGCTGAAGATGGAGCCTGCTGGAGCCTGCATGCATTCAGTGTGGTATCCTCCAGGCTTCCTGACTCGTAGTCTTAAAGACTTCATACCTCTCATTCCTAATGTGTCTTATGCTTTTTTGTTGTTGTTCCTTTTTTTAAATAAAAATTTTATTTTTCATAGTATGCATGCAGAGTTATAAAATGCATGAGCACAAAATGGCATTAGTGTATTTGTGATAAGCTGTCCTATAAAATCCAGAGGAGGAAGCTCACTCTATAAGTATCTATAGATTATATGGTTAGAACTAATAGTGTCACCAAATATTACGAGGGACATTAAGAAATTCTGGTCTAGGAGCACCTTATAATACGTCTGCTGGTGTCCGTGTGTATGTCTATTGGAGATGAGGGAGGCCTATACCTTTGAATGATACAGCCTAATGTGCATAAGGTGGGGGTGAGGTGGGAGGGAGCTGAACATAAGCCAAGTCCTTGATTAAGCTGGGTGATAGGCACACCATGGAGAGTGGGCCTTGGAAAAGTTCTGAATTGGAAAGAAGCTGCATGTGCACGGAGTGCAGTGTGATTCACCAGTTCTCTAAAGCAATGTTGTAAACTTTTACTGCTTTCTTGTTGTGTTTTATATCTTGTTCTCTCCAGGCTTCGTGGACTCGACCAGAGAAGCAAGAGGTATAGCTTACCTGACCACTAGCCAGTCTTTAGTTTTGAAAGCATTGCGGTTTAACTCACCATTATAGTTAACAACCAGACATGCTAAACTAATTAGTAACTTAGATTAAAGAATAGGTCAGTAGTGGTAGCTGTTACTTAGCAATAGTATCATTTTAGGGTGAGCAAGCAAGCTGTGTTGGGAGTGGGTGAACAAATCCTTATTGTTTTCTAAGACTGGATTTTAGTCTCTTGATGGTGCTGGGAAAATCACATCCAGGTAATTACACTTAAATCCCCCCAATTCCCAGGCCCATCACTGTAAAATGGTGAAATTTTTTTACTCTCACCTGGTTGATGTGGCTTCGGATCATGAAGGCACGGGGTTAGTGATCTAAAACCCACTTGGCCCTTTCCCTTCCAGCTCAACTCATCTTGTTGCTCGCTTATTTTATAATGATTGGTCTTGGTAAATGATCACTTCACATCTCATCTTGAAGCAATGCAAATGACATGTCTCATTGGTTCTCCCAAACTGCTAAGCGTGTCTGTGCTACTTTCACAGTGTTAAATTGATGAGCTTAGAATGATTCGGCACAAATGGCTTTATGTGTTTGTTTGTTTTTAAAGTCGGTAGCCATTGGCCTTTGAAATTTCTCTGATTCCTTGCTTCATTTGGGGTAATTTGGGACTTAGTTTGAAAATTGAAGCTAATTATTCATCTTTTGATTTTAATTGTTACACCCCCAAGATCCTGCTCATGGTCATGAGTATCACTTTTTACCTGATTTGTGCAACTGAGTGACAGATAGTGAAATAAAAACCAGTATAGTTTAGATGAGGTTCAAGGACCTAATCTATGAATACTTTATGGGGAAAAAAAAGCTTTGTCTCTTCTCCAGATGAAACTTTGGTATTGTAATGCTATAAACATAGAATCTAGCAAGCAATCCTATAGGTTGTATTATCTCTCCTCTTAGCCTTTCGGAAATGATAATTATTCAGAACACGTAACTCATGTGTTCAGGTCACGGCTATAAATATGTAATTCTGTTTAATATTTGAAGCTGCCTGCCTGTCCCCAGGCACGATGTTAGTTTCTGCACATGAACACATTGCCATCGTCAGCTCCAGTTCATTATCAGCTCTCTTTGCCTCAGACCTTCCTCATGTCAGAGGGGCTGCAGTTCAGTGCACATCTCACTGAAATGCTCCTTCCTGGGGCACAGGAATTGCTCAGTGCTGTCACGGGCTGGGTGTTTTATTGCTTCAAAGTCCTGGACCCACTGGAACTGGGGAAGGGAGAGAAGGGTCAGTTATCAGCTACTTCTGAGCAGCTACAGATCTCATTCTGCTTGGACTTGTACACCTTCCCCCTGTCCTTTTGACCTAGACCTGGAGGAGCTGAGGTTTATCAGGGAGCATTAAGAAGATGTTAAGTGAATTATTATCATAAGCGGAAGTAATGGGTTTATTCCCAGCAAAGCAAACACCTCACTCCGTTTTCCAGAAGTGTCCTTATCTTCAGTATCTCACTCTGGACATCATTGGCTTTCAAATGAGTGCCACCTTGGGGCTCAGAAGTTCTGTTCCCTCCTATTTGTCTCACTCAGAGATGAAGACCGTAAGTCCAGAAGGCAGATTGGGTTCTGGCCAATTCCATTCTGTAAGCTCTGAAAAGCCTTCACACTCTTACCTGGAAGAAGAAAGACAAAAATGTTTCGATGAGAGGATTAATTATAACTGCCCTTCATACTCTTGCAAAACAGGGTCTTCTTGTCATAATGATCTTCTCCTTCTTGCCCAGAATTCATCTGCTTTCTCCTCCCGAGCCTGAATTATCAGTGCGACGTTTGGTCTGCATGGCTGTAGGTGGCACTCCTGGACTTTGTCCCGATGCCAGAGTAAACATTTCAAAGGGCCCAGTCACACTAACTGTGTCCCCTGGAGAGAGAACTGGGCACCTAAAATAATCCCATCATCAGTCCTGTTCCTGAGCCGCTGCAAAATAAGAATTCTTTACGGAGGGCCACCTACTGGCCCGTTGACATCATTAAATTAGAAAGATTTCCAGATAGTGAAATTGAGGAAAGAGACCAGCTAAAAGGGGAGAAAAAAGTACAGCTGTCAGTATAACCATTTCATTAAATGGTTGTGAAATGTGATGGGGCTTAAGTGGCTGAGCTGGACTAAATCTACTTCTGATGGTACAAGGACAGCTTTGACAGAGCTGCTGAGGCTGCTCACAGGCCCGGGCTGCCTCGCTTTTGAGCTTCCCAAACTGGCTGCTGTGTGATGTGCAATTCTGGATTTGGGGCTTCCAAGCCAGCACATTGAAAGAATCTGAAGTCGGGTGTTGTTACATTCTTTAAAGGCCCAAACCCTTGGGTAACAGATGCCATACAAATGCAGACCACTCACCTATCCATCTCTACAGAATACTGCATGCTAGAGATAAGAGTGTGGCCCAGCCTCTGAAGAATAAGACTCCTTTAGATTACCCACCTTCTGGAGGATCTGAACTTGGGCAAATGCCCAGACATTTCCTAGACCAGGAACCATTCACCTAGAGTGTCAAGGGGGGACACCCTGGGAGATATTCCAGGACCCATTGCCTGGGGATCATGTGCTTATTTCCTTTTTGACCAGTAATTCCAAAGACTCAGAAAGCTGATTATAGTACCAAGGGCTAAAAAATGGTGGTGACTATGGGGTTAAGGGCCCCAGATCTACCTGGGACTCTCTGTACCACTGTCCCTGGAGAGGGGACCCAGTTACCCTTCCTTCCAGCTCAGCAGCTCCTGACTTCTGAGTTGTTGGGCTTTTAAAAAAAATAAAATAATTTTACTTTTAAGCATCCAGGAAAGTGAGGCATCTGCATAAATATGGGTTTCTTATAGAACTTCTTGCATTTTGGAACTCTCGGATTTCCCATCCAGTGTGCACGCATTGTGGCACTGGCAGATGGGTGGACTGCAGGGAGGGGAGGAGGGGAGTACAGGTTTCCCAGAATCCCATGAGGCAAGGCGGTTTCTGCTGGAGTATCTGCTGCTCAGGGCTTTGCTTCCATTTGAGACGTGCCAAACAAATCGGGACCTTGAGCCACACAGTCTTGGCACACAGCTAGGCTGCTTGACATAAACTGAGTCCATCTCTGTTTGGGGTACAACCAAGTTCCCATGGTGCTCTCTGCAGCCTTCCCCTCTAGTTGGAACCTAAAGTGAGACTTAGACACTGGCAAAGAGAGGAGAGGGTGTGAGACTGGTCACACAAGTGATGGCCTGGTCTCCTAGCCCCCATCCTGCCCTGGGCTCTGACACTCCCTGTTCCCTCCCGGCAGACTCTGGATGGGCACATGGTGGTGCGCAGCCACGCCCGCGTGTCCTCCCTGACCCTGAAGAGCATCCAGTACACAGACGCTGGAGAGTACATCTGCACTGCCAGCAACACTATCGGCCAGGACTCCCAGTCCATGTACCTTGAAGTGCAATGTGAGGAATAACTGTGGAAAGACTGGGAGGGAGGGGCCGTGGAGGGTTGGGATGGACGGGGAAAAGAGCAGCTAGGACCTGCAGCTGGCAAGCTTCGATCTCTTTCCCTGGGTCCCCAGGTCACCTCCTCACACCATCCCCAGGCTTCTTACCCGCTGCATGCCCTCTGTCTTCCCATCAGCTCACAGGATTGCCAGAACAGCCCCAACCTCTACTATACCCTGGCATAGCTCGGCTTCAGGGCACACCCCGCTCCCAGTGCCAGGAGACAGCATCTGTAGGGCTCCATGACAGTGGCAGGCTTCCTGATAGTCATTGCCACTCGTTGCAGATGCCCCCAAGCTGCAGGGCCCCGTGGCTGTGTACACCTGGGAGGGGAACCAGGTGAACATCACCTGCGAGGTGTTTGCCTACCCCAGTGCCACAATCTCATGGTTCCGAGATGGTCAGCTGCTGCCAAGCTCCAACTACAGCAACATCAAGATCTACAACAGCCCCTCTGCCAGCTACCTGGAGGTGAGCGGGGCACGGGCCAGCGGCAGGGTGGAAAAGGCAGTTTGACTATAGATGGGCTCCTGAATGCCTCTAAAATCCTTCTTGCTTCTCTGGCATGTCCTGAGCGGGGAGCCATCAGCTGGAGAAGAATTCGGGCTTCAGCCCAGCCCCTGTGTCTCCTGGGCAAGCCCAGGGCCTGGAAGACAGAGTGTCTTCTTCCACAGCCCCTTCTCTGTTCTCCTCTCTGCCTTAAGGGTTGGGTGGAGCCAATGATTCCTGCTTTACTACTTCTATTCTTTGCTAATTTAATCCAATAAATAAGGGCCTGAGGCTGTGACCATCCCATGGGCATGTAAACCAAGAGCTCCTTCTCTCTCAAGGTGACCCCGGACTCTGAAAATGATTTTGGAAACTACAACTGCACCGCCGTGAACCGCATTGGACAGGAGTCTCTGGAATTCATCCTTGTCCAAGCAGGTGAGCACCCCTTACGGCTGCACCCCCTTTTTAAAACCCTTGCTGGCCCATTTGGTGTCCTTGAGTGGTGCCAGGGAAGTGAGAAGAGAGGCCCCGGGTCAGCAAAGCCTGAGGAGGAAGCAGGGAACGATGGAGACTTGAGGATCAGGGCATGGAGCATGTGGGGAGAGAATCGTGTGAGGAGGCGGGCAGGGAGGATAGGATACAGGCAACAAGACTTCAAGACTGAGCAGAAACCGCAAAGATGTGATTGCGAATTGTGTCCCGCATGAAGCTCACTTGGGCCTTCATCTGTGTTCTCCCCACAGACACCCCATCCTCACCATCCATCGACCAGGTGGAGCCATACTCGAGCACAGCACAGGTGCAGTTTGATGAGCCTGAGGCCACAGGAGGGGTGCCCATCCTCAAATACAAGGCTGAGTGGAAAGCAGTGGGCGAGGAAATGTGGCACTCCAAGTGGTACGATGCCAAGGAAGGTGAGTCTGGAAACGTCTTTGTTTCCTTCAGCATGAGGAGTCCCTTGGTGCTGGGCACACATTCACCCCTGCCTTCACCAGATCTGGGCACCCTGACTGCCTATAGGGTAGGGTAGCATACCACTCTCATCTACTGGGGGTGGCCAGGAGCCGTCACCTGCCATCCGTTCATGTCCCTATGCTGCAACATCTAATTAGGGCACGGTCACGTCTCACATAGACTTGTTGGCCTCTGTACCATGGCACTTCAGAACCTGGTTCCTGTGACCCTGCAGGACGGAGGGGCCATCCCAACCACCTGCCACGCAGAAGCCCTGCTTCGGTGTGACAACCTGGCGAGGCCAGTTCACCCTGCTCCGCATGTAGTTATGTGTTATTGTAGTAAAACATCTACAACATAAATTGTGCCATTTTAACCATTTTAAGGGTACAGTTCAGTGGCATTAAGTCCAGTCTCATTGTTGTGCAACCATCACCAGGGTCCATCTCCAGAGCTTTATCATCCCAAACTCTGTACCCATGAAACACTAACTCCCCTCCCCTCCTGCCCAGCTCCTGGCAGCCACCGCTCCCCTTTCTGTCTCTCTGTAGTTGACTCTCCTAGGTACTTCGTATAAGTGGAATCATACAGTATTTGTCCTTTTGTGTCTGGCTCATTTCACGTAGCATCATGTCCTTGAGGTTCATTTATGTAGTGCGTGTCAGAATTTTCTTCCTTTTTAAAGCTGAATAATGTTCCATCGTACGTGTGCACCACATTTTATTTTTCCATTCATGTGTCCGGGAACACCTGGGTGCCCCCACATTTTGGCTCCTGTGAGCAATGCTGTGAGCGTGGGTGTGTAGATATCTGTCCAGGTCTCTGCTTCAATCCTTCTGTGTGTAGTCCTAGAAGTAGAATTGCTGGATCCAGTGATAATTCTGTGTTTAATTTTTTGACGACCCACCATAGTGTTTCTCACAGCAGCTGCACCATTTCACCGATAGGCTTCTTATCATTTGTGATCCTTTCCATGTTCTCGCAACAGCCAGCATGGAGGGCATCGTCACCATCATGGGCCTGAAGCCTGAGACGACGTACACAGTGCGACTGGCAGCCCTCAACGGCAAGGGTCTGGGCGAGATCAGCGCAGCCTCCGAGTTCAAGACGCAGCCAGTCCGTAAGTAGAGCCGGCTGCCCTGCCTCTCCCACCCCCTCTTCTTCTGGGGGCCTTGGGGGACCCTGAGCTGGCCACCCATTGTTCAGATGACAGCCTTTTGTCTTTCAGATGCCTCTGCTGGAGGTGGCCCCACCTCCCCGCTCTCTGGCCCTCAGTGATGACTGACACCCAGTCCCTTTATCCTCCTTCTCGGGGTCTTGGTGACACTGTCATAGACTGACAGCCGGGGTTGTTAGAGGGTGTATGCAGTGGGGGGTTGGGGATTTGCTTTTTGACACAGGTCACAAAGGCCCTCAGCACCTGTGATTGAAGGACGAGGGTAACGACAGTGACAGTTCCCATAATGAGCTGTGGGACTGTTGATGCAGCAGAGATATTAACGTAGAGAAAAGCAGGGGGTGCTGGGATGGAGGAGGAGCAGAGGCATAATCCCAGCAAAGCAAAGGGAAAAGGATGCGGAGGCCTTTGACTTTTGGCTCCCCCGCCCTTCCCACACCAGGAACGCACCTCAGGGTCTCCCTCCCTCTCACACTTCCAGTCGCTTCTTCCCGGTTCCATTCAGGGATGCATTTCTGTTTCCCTCTGTCATCCCCTCTTTCCCTCACTCTGCCTGCCCTCCTTTCGCTGGTCCCCCAGGACAGCCAGCTCTGGGGCGAGCCCTGCTCTAGGTAGCCCTCCACAGGCCCGCCCTGGGCGGAGCAGGAGACCCCGTGGAGAACAGACTCCACAAGTGGTCCCAGAGGCCCAGGCTGCTGACTCCTGGAATTATAAAGCAGACGGGGATCTTTGCTTTCTTCTCTTTGAAGCTGGGGACCTAGAAAGAGATCCCCTTACTCTTCCAAAAAGTAGAAAGCCTGTCTTATCTTCCTCCCACAGGAATTGCTTCTTTCTGGATGTGAAATAATTTGATAATTTGAATTTCCAGTGCCCTGTGTTCTGTGATCCTAGTCATTTCTTTTACATCTGTTTTTTTTCCCCCCTTGGGTCTATCTCTTGTCTTTTCTTTCCATCTGTGTTCCATCCATGGGAAATGCAGATACCCCTGTTCCACGTAAGTGCCTCTTCATACCTCGCTACTTGTTCCCATGGCATTAGCGTCTCTGTCCTAGTTATTAATTTAGTTCCAGTCTCTTCTGTCCCCTAGGGGCCGAAGTAGATGCTGCTGTCCAGGCCTTAACCACACTGACCATAGCCTAGCTGTGTGCCGGTTAATGTCCATCGGTTACTCCCGGAAGCTAACCCTCCTTCTGTTTTAGAGCATGAAGCTTTTGTGTCTTTTGAAGTTGGTTTATGTATTAATTTCTGTGTGAGACACTTACACTGTGGCAGCAGTGATGTTTGCCAAGCCAAGCGTAGTGGGCATCTGCAGGTGATCTCTTAATAACACACTATAGCCCCACCTCATCTTTAGCCAGGATGCCAGAAAAGTGACCACATCATCACCAAGCCTTGATTCAAAATCCCTTCACAGGAAAAAGAATTTGAAAGGATTTCCACATTTGCTTTTAGGAAATAGAAGAATCGAGCTCTCCTGCCCTCATTCTGTCTGTCAGGGAATAGCATGAGGTTGGATTCCAATCCATGGCATGTCCTGCAGGGGGCTGCCGGGAGTGAGACCCCAGCTCAGTCAACCCTGTTCTTTACTAAAGCAGGAGGTACTTGCAAACTGCCATTTCTACGTTTGGGAAAACTAACCAGCTACTTAGTAACTCTACTGCCAAGCATGTAGAGAGGGGTAATTCTCCCTGGGAAGGACCCTAATTGTGTAAGCTGTTACTGCAAATTCAGGGTGCAAGGGTGGCAGGAAGCTGGCCAGCCGTTCTGGGAGCAGAGCTGTGATGCGATCTCCCTGCCTGTACAGATGCCCGCGCTTCAGTCCCTGCGGCCTGGCCCCTTCCGAGGCTGCGCTCAGAATAGTGGGGGGAAGTAGTACCCAAAGAGACTTAGAAGAAAGGTATTCAGAGAGCTGAACACTCTTTTCATAAAAAGCTCCTCGTTCCTGAAAGACACTCAGGGAAGCTTATCTTTTAAAAATGAATTCAGAAATTTTGCAGCAACAGCAGAAACTAAGTAGCTTGGTGTAGGCGTTCTGAGATCTTCAGCAAGTGTTAAATTAACTATCTCAGCAGAGGTGGCTCTGAATGAACCAGTTCTGGCAGGAGACAGGAAGGGGTGGAGCTGTGAGGTGGGACTGACAGCTGTCTGCTCTGGGCTGGCAGCTGCTTGCAGAAGCCAGGCACCACTCTGGGTGTGACGCTGTCCGGGTCCTGACACCGTCCTTAGCCTGATCTTCGGTTTCTGCTCTTCTAGATGTGGGTTATCAGTACTCCGTGTGGGCTTAGTTACCTTGCTGAGAGGGAGGCTGTGGGGAGGTCCCTTTGAGTTTCTCACCAGTAACTAGGTTCTGAGAACTGAATTGGAGTCACTGGCCTTGAACTTCAAAGACTATAAGTGGTTTTCATTCATTGCCAGCTCAGCCCTTGTAAAGGTGAGAATTCCCATAGCAGATGCTGCTTTGAAAGTCAGTGTTTAATTTTTTTTAAAGGAGACCTCCAGACCTTGTTGTTTGTTGTCTGATATATGAAAATAGGTAATTAACCACGATCCCAGGAGGCCCTGTAGGAAATGGTGGGGTCAGCTCTCCATTCCAAGTACATCATGAGTAATGCAGTAGCAGGCATTGCTAGTGGCATGAACAGTTAGTTTTCTTAATCATTTAATAAAATTACAGTTTAAAAACGAAAAGGCAAACTTCTTTTAGACAAGGAGAACTACACACAGCCCCAGAGCTTTATCACCTGCTTCCCCTCCCAAGGTACAGGATCAACGGGGCTAGCACACTGGACAGAGAGCCATCGCTGCCAGCCCTGGATGGGAGAGCTAGGCGAGGGCCAGTGCATTTCACATTACCTCATCACTTGAAGTTCGTTGAGATGTCTCAATACTGGGGTTGCTTTCTCGGTTCCATATAGACTTCTCCACATTCAGAGGCATGAATGTGTCAAAGCAGGGATGAGCAGATGGAACTAGCCAGAGAGCACAAATACCTCAAGGACTCCTGCTTCTGAGCTGCTGGATTAGAAAGCATGGCTCACCTGTTTGGAGGTTCTTGTGTGCAGTTCATAAATGTGTGTGTAAAGGTCTTGAGGAAGCTATGGCTTTAAACAAACAGATGGAACTCCAACCTAGGAAAGCACCTCTGTCACATGTATTTTTAGGACCAATGTCTTCACGCTGTTAAGACACTCTCAGGTGAACAGCTGACACAGCTGATTGCCTTCGGGGGGAGGGGATGCTTTCCTATAAGAGCAGCTGAGGCCCTGAAGAGATGATGTCACAATTTGTTATGAAACTATTCCTCATTCTTGAGCTTCACCTTCAGAATTTCATTGTCTGAATATTACCTCTTAATTGCTTCTGTACCATGAAGCAAAGTAAATGATCTCTTTCAGGGCATAAAGACTATATATGAATGAGTCTCTACTTTTTAAGAGGCATCTTGAGATTTTTGTTTTCACATTTTGCCCCTAGATGACACATTGCAAGTGTAAGTTAAATGCATTGTAATATACTGTGATTAAAGCACATACAACTCTATCCCTTTGCCACAATAATATAGACAGTTATGCAAACAACTCGAGCCAAAAAAATAAAAGAGAAAGAGATATACTTTTACCTGAATTAACCAGACCATCAAATCATGATGAGTTAGTAGCCTACCTTGCTCTGACCCCAGTGACATTGTACTTACATGGTTTAATGAGGTCCCCACATCTGGAAGGTGAAAGGAAGACCAAGGCAATGTTGAGGACACGGTGACGTTTTTCCTAATTTTCATCCAGCTCTCAGAGGGACTTTGTTTTGTGATCTGGGTGGGGAGATTTGCCAGTGGAAAACTGAAGAGCTGTCCAAATGTTTTGGATGCACCATCTCTGCCCGTTTTCCATGCTAACATTGGTTAGAGTTACTTGTCTAGCGAGAATAACAGTATTATTTGCATTGCTCTCCATACACAAAGCAGCATCCAGAGAATCACATTCTGTAGGGATTTTTTTTGGAGGGCAGCAGAGGTTTTTCTCATCCAGATGCCAAACAATCATGAACCTCGATCGGTAGTAAACATTAATAAGTAGGACCGTCATTTTCACTTTATTCAGACATTGAAATTAGGGAGAGACATAGAGGTTTTGCTACAATTGTATGTGTCAGCATAAATATATATCTATATACAAACACACATAGAGACACCTAAAATAAAAAGCCGGCCTTCTCTTTTCCCTTTCCTCCTGTCTCTCCACTCCCTGGGGACAGCTGCCCATGCGGAGTCGGCCGTGTGTTTTCAGCAGGGTCGCAGGCCTCTGCAGCTGTTCCTGGCCCAGTGCCTTACCTGAGCTGCAGGCGTGGCAGGCACACAGGTCTATGGCCCTGCTCTCTGCTGGTCCTCCAGCCACCTGTTCTCGAACACCGTGTTCTTCTTGCCCATGTTAACTCACTGCAGCTTCTTGTACTGACGTCCCAGCGTTGGCTCTCCCGTTTTTTTCATGCAGCATCTGTATGCCTTGATGATCTTTTATCTCTTTTTTTCACCTTCATTTTTCTTTTCTCAGCGGCTCCTGCTAGCTCTTCCACTCCTGTCCCATTGTCTCACCCGGATAGTGAGTATCATTTTCTTCATCCATCTCTCTGCAGGTTGCTTGCCACCAGCCACAGTGGGTCTGCCTAGTGTTATCACCTTCACCAGGTGATAACTCAACTCTGTTGGCGGAAAGCAGCGCCGGGTTGTAGAGAAGAAAATGAGAAGAGAAATAGGCACAGGGCCTCCCCGATTCCTGGGCGGCAGCACTCCCCAAGGGGAGGTCAGTGAGGGGTGTGGTTCTGGACCGAAAATGCTGCGGGCAGGCTCCTGAGGCTGCTGCAGCCCGGCCCAGTGCTGGCTGCTTAATGAGCTGGACCCGAGCTGATATTCGGAGAGGCCAAAGGAATTTGCCCAGAAAACTCTA